TAACACAGAAGATAATTCAATGAGTAGAAGTTGCAATATATAAAATACATTTAAGGCACATATTTACATTAAAATGCACGAAATAAAAAATTATAAATAACAATACGGTACATTTCTATCTTGAGCCTCGATGTAAATTAAGAAATCGTCTAAATCAAACTACCAAGAAAAGCTGTTGTTAAGAATAAGGTTTACATCTGCGGTGCATGATTACAGCGTATGAACTATATAATTAACGAGCGATTTCATACCTATCAGTTTGCATGAAATCGATCGGACACTGCGATTTATATCATAAATGGAGAGTAAGTCCATAATAAACCTACGCCCTCCGTATTTTTCATTTCCATAAAAACTATCTATTAAGCAGGGCACCATTTCGTCAATGGATCAGCTGATTGTAGAATGCAGGATAACCGGCTCTCCTTTATCGGCTTGGCAAAATACCGATAGATACTTGAAGGAGCACTGCTCTTTGTATCCGGAAAACGCAAAAAATTGACGATAGCGCACTTCTTACCGCGTTTTAACCTACGCATGTAAAACCGCACGCTTATTAGTCGTTCGCGTTTACGAGGGCTTTAATGAGCGGATTTTACTCTTGAATCGATTTTCGACGGTTATACCATTAGCCGAAAGATTAACAGCGTTTTTATTTCAACCGGAACTAATGCGGTAACGGGACAATAGGCACTTATTAATTCCCAGAGAAGAAAACATAGATAGAAGATGGAATAGAAATGTGAGAGATATCGAAGTGCGCATGTTTCTGACTTTACAGAAAGAGATAAGTTTTTGAACTTATACTTATTTATACAATCTGCCTTTATACACAAAGGATTCATAATAATCGTGATAACTTATAAAATTAAACCATTCTTATTGTTAAAGATCATAAATTTAAAGATATCTCACATTTCAATCCTTTCCTCGATTATTTGTAATTTATTTACGCAAATAAGAATATATTATATCTATCGATACAAAAATATCTTAAATCAAGCTCTAGATACCAGCAAGAATATTATAATCTTCATAGAAGATTTTTAATCTTTTGTTGTTAAACAAAAGTAATATTTGCATCGATACAAACTCAATCAAATCGGAAGTAAAATTTTTAAGATTATAATGTTCTTGCTTAAAATATAAGAATATTATATAATAATATAATAATATAATATTAATAATATATATAAGAATATAATAATATAATATTATAATATTATATAATAATTTGTCTTAATTTAAAATTAACTTTTTTCCTATGAAAAGATAAGACTAAAAAAATTATCAAGTTTTTTTTATAGTGAAATTTTTTTCTGAAATTGTAATTTTTCACATTAAAATTGGAGGGAGCGAGATTTGAGGATGCGATTAAAATATAAATCTCTGCGTTAATCGCCGAGCGTTTAGCAATCGCTTTATTAGTTCCGAATAAATGACTCATATATATATCGGAAAAAAAAGTACAATACATAAGTCATTATATTTTCAAACAACTTACACGTGCCGTTGACGTTCCTGCTGAGTATCCTGGGAACAGCGGTGACTG